ACTTGTGTCGCTAAAGTTTCGTCGGAACGAAGTTACGGAAAGTTAACTAGCGAACGGAGACGTAACATTACTTTAAAGAAACATTCAGTATATGTTCGTTTAATAATTCTCACAAGTATATTATTTTAGAACATGGAACTGTCTGTTGTGTCACCCGCGGGGAAGCGAACCGCGGATTTTGGTGTTGTAAGTCAGTAACAATTACCGCTGTCCCACCGGGAGACTTAGTTTAGAGTAATATTTTTAAGCTGGACCATCTACAACTTTGAATATCAATACTTGTCGAATTGGGTGGCTTGCTTCGATTGGTTGCCACGTCATGTAGCTCTAACCTACTAAACTTTCCCATTAAACGAATTGTTTCCACACCCAGCCCTCTGATTATAACATCTCAGGTGTTACCCGTACAAAGGTCAAGTAGCAGGACTACTAAAAGTGATAGCGGCTGTTATCAAACCCAAACCACATTTTGAAATATGTTTGTAACATACAGATTTTAATCAGAACGACAATAACTACGCTAAATCAACAACGTAATCAGCAACATTTCTAAAACCAGTGTGTCTCAAAGTGTAAGTTTACGTCAAAATATACCACGTAAAGACTTGTGGAACATAACTAATTGTACAACAGTGAGATTTGTAGTTATTTTAGGTACGACAATATATATATATATATATATATATTGCTATGCTGGTGGTAAAGTTATACACTATTTCAAACACACTTGTATATCACTATTCGACTACATTATTTTTTAACAGTTAGACAATGCTACCCCTGCGTACAATACCTCCAACCTACGTGGAAAACTACGTATTCTCCATCTCATAGTGAACAAAATTATAATTTTAATCCCCAGCCTAACCCTTTAATAACTAAGTGGTCAGTCGTCACTAGTTTTGTTTCGACAGTCGATACTAAAGCTACAATAAATAAACTGGCTTATTACACACCGACATTCTTAACATCCAGTAATATCAGCATACCATTAATTATTCAGGAATAGTTTGTTTAAACATATTTTAAAAATACGTACAGTGTATTGTTTACGCTATACCCTACCTTTAAAATTTTGTAGCATTTAAAGTATAAATATCGGTAGAAAAGCGACACTAATAACCAGCCAATTAGCAGTAACCGACACCATTAGTGACTAGGTAGGTGTTGAATTACGAAAAACAACGTTCAGTATTTGTGTAAACAAAGAAATTTAGATTAAGACTCGCAAGTTTTAAAGCGAAAACAAATAAATCAGGATAAAATTTTGTGATTTAATTTCCACTTTTATTCGACTATTTATTCATATGATAATAATGGTTTATAAAGTCATTAATATAAATTTCCTCACTGTCTAGTTGTCTTACCCTAAATTGGGTTTAAGTCAGTAGTTACTGCACGTATTGCTTATGATAATATTGAACTAAATCAAAACCCCATTTGAAATTTGAAGTTATTATATTTATAATCCATAGGTAGTAAACTAGTAATGAATCAAATCCAAAGCCAGGACACCAAAATAGTACCTTACCTTAGCGAGTAAACGTTCAATAAAGTACATGTAGCGGACTAATCACCGTCCCTTACGAACTCAGCATTTGATATCCTTAATATGTAAAATAGTAGTTAAATATCGGAACAGTTGATAAAGTAGGCATAACGATATTTCACTACTTAATCCAACTGAAACCATTGGTATTATTAAACTACGTGTATTGTTCAACCAATATTATCGTGTAACCATGGGAACAGCCTTTCATATACCTGATGCCACGTGGCTAGCAGGTGTTTTGATCACAAATTATCCCATTAAAAATAATGAAGTTTTCTGCTTATTCTAAGGTAAAAAAATTTAATACGACTACTGGATGTAAAAACTATTTTATTTGTTACAAATATGTTAAGCTTTAAATTAAACGTAGATATCTGTTCCTCTTTACTAGGTCTTTGTGTGCCTATAAATATCTAGACACAGGTACGTGATTTTATTTCGAAAGTGAGGAGGGTAGAAGAAGAATAGTTATTATATGTTGAACCATAACAAACTCTTGTTTATCTATTGATGTCGTTCGTGTTGTTTTATGCTTGGTTCTGGTGCGGCTGGTAAGTACGATAAACTATAATTTTAAAATTACCCCTCCAATCCCCTGTTATTATTGATGAAAAGATTAGGCGGATATGCTCTCCCCTCCCCCCCAAAAAAAACATTTATGCCCAAATAACGTTCAGTTAGTTAAAAAAATAGATAAACTAGAATACTTGCATCAATAGAAAAATCCCACAAAGTATGCAACATTTTGATAAACTGTTACAACGTGATTACGTACAACAAATTCCTATCGAGCATTATGGTGGGGAGGGGCTTTTGCTAACGGAATAATACTGGGGACAGCTCTAACTTTTAACGATAACTTTGTGCAGAATGTTCATGATATGTAAGGCTCTTCGATCTCGTTTCCGATATGAATTTCTTATTCTACTTATATAAACTTGTGTGACTGGAGCAGGTAATGTCTTCCTCACAGTACAGTCGACACTGTAAGTGTAAACTACAGGCTATTCTTCATGTTAATGATAAAAATTGTCATGTTTTCAGTCGTTTAATTTTCACTTGGATAAAGTATCACGAAATTTTTAGTTGGCCCTAAAAAGTTACTTAAGAATTCAGTCGCATAGAAAACTTTAAATTCGTTTAAAAAGAATATCTCGGGAAATTACTAAAAATTACTAAGATATAATTTATGGTTCTTTGATTTTATAATTGTGCCACTAGATGGAAAGAAAATCGCTCCCCCCCCCCAAATAATCAATATTATTGCCCTCTCGTGGTGCTTGTATATCTAACTTGTTAGTAATTCAAAACTACGATACTCTATACAACCCGAGCGCTTTCGAAAAGTAGACCTTTCTTCTTCAGGAACAAAATGTAAAGTAAAGTGTGAGATAAAGTGAAGTTTAACTGATGTTATGTATGCTACCATGGAAATCCGGAAGTGTTTTAATTTTTGAGTAGCTTTCAATGTATTGTTACAAGTGTTTCATACTTCCGGTGCAATACTACCGGAAACAAGCATGTTCGATGTAAATAAGTTAGAAATGTATTGTTTTAAGAAAAGAAGTGGTCAAGAAAAACTACACTAAGTGTTAATAAAGTAAAATAGAAATTAGGTATAAAGATTAATTAAAAAAGGGAATGTTAAACAAATATAATTTTAAAACAAACTGAAAAATATCATTAATAAGTATTAGGGTTAAAAATTGAAAATTCACGTTACATGAACAACAACAACAAAAAACTATTTTTATGACCGAGAATAACTTAATGATCGGAAATCACTAGTTTCAGGATCTACATTTATTCCACAAGGTTGAACAGCATTTAAAGTTGCAATGAGATAGGTTTCTCTTATCTCTCTATCGGCTTTAGTTTTGAAATGGGTTTCAATGCCGATGAGACTCGCATAATTAATAGAATGACCGGAACTAGGGAACAGGGAGTTCTTTTGCGGTGTTTATAGATTTTTGGTTATTGAAACGTTCTTTAAGATTTGTTTGTCCTACATAATGATTACATTTTTATACTGTACGAGGTAAAATAAAATTTGTATTGTGTTAGTCATTTCTTTAGAAATTTTAAAGTGTTTATGGTCATATTTGTCGGTGGTTTTATAAAATTGCAGGTTAGACAACGAGCTTTATTTCATAAATGAAAAGCCTTTCTTTGATAGATCTAATTTACTTTTTCGGATATCTTTAAGACTTCTCTTCTAATTGGTGACGAAGGGAACAATATTGTTGGCTGAGATGTCCAGTTTTGTTTGAATTTATTGCAGCTATTTTTACCACTTCACCCCTTCTGGATCGTATGTCAATAAATTCTACATCTCGAGGGATAATATTTGTTATATAAATAATAAAGATCTCTTTATACTCCTAAACTTTTTTTTTACCTCTGCTACATAGGCTAAATAATCCTATTTTTTAAACAGATAAAAAATCTTTTTTTTTCTCTTCGTAGTTCATGACTACCTGCTCATAAAATAACGTCAACTTAAAAATGCAATAACTGAAATAATACATTTTTCTGTCCATTTAGTTATTCGATTTACCTTTAACGTGCGTATGACAACAGGTTTAAATTGTTGTGTGTGTGTTCTTTTCAGTTTGTATTTTACGCTGTAACCCTTGAGAAAGGCGTAAGCCGAAACGTGGGGTATGAATAAAGTATTTTTTCTTATTTTTCTGGAATGTTTTGGTCATTTTTTGTAAACATCCTCCAGTCTGCTATGCAAGGTTTAAAAAAACCGATACAAATGTAATGGACTTTGGAATGTTTTGGTCATTTTTTGTAAACATCCTCCAGTCTGCTCTGCAAGGTTTGAAAAAACTGATACAAATGTAATGGACTTTGGAATGTTTTGGTCATTTTTTGTAAACATCCTCCAGTCTGCTCTGCAAGGTTTAAAAAAACCGATACAAATGTAATGGACTTTGCATTCTAATACAATTTACATTTTTCTTCCCAATATATTTGTCTGAATATACACCAGGTAGGTACTGTGGTTTAACTGTGTACAAACTGCACTGTTTTATTTAATTCTATACCACTTTTGATTTTAAATATTTAAATTATTTAATGGATAAATAAAGTACTTCCATATCATATTGAGAGTTTGACTGTTCCCAAAGATACAATAACACACACATTTCATGATTCAAGCCATCTTTATTTCTTAGATTGATATAATTATACACATATGATTTAATCTTTGGTGACTATCACTAAAGCCCAAGTATCTCTGAAAAAGTTGCAACATGTACAATAGCCTGACATGTTCCATTGGTGAGATTTCATCTAAAAGCATGATGACGGCATTTGCCTAATTTCTATTCAAACACAGCTGGATATTATTCGATTATCTTTCATATTACTTGAAGAAAAACTCTCAAAATACGCATCATATTTTAGAAAGTTTGTAATCTATGACAAAAAAAATATAAACAAAGTATATATAAATCTGAGAAACCAGTTTCTTATTAAGACACTCTTCGTCACTTGTCCACGTCTCATAACTTACCCGGAACACGTTTGTTGTCTACAGCTGAATACTGATTTCAAAGATAACTTTATGAGTAACGAAACTTGCAGTCTATTTGGTTGTTGTTAAGCACAAAGCTGTACAATGGGCTGTCTGTGCACTACAAGCCCTAAAGCTTACTGAAGAGCCACAAAAACATTTCTGAAATTTGTCCCAAAATCACTGTTATTTGACTATTTAGCCTAAACAATGTGATAATGAATAAAGTTGTTCTTTCTTTATAATTTTATTAACATCGCTAATGTGTTATTAATCACAGCTGTGTATATCGGTAATAATAATTTTCTCATGTCACAAGCTTGTATGAATGTTATGACATGAATGAGATGTAATTGTTTATTTGATCTGTATTTTACGTAATGCTCCACTAATTGATACAGTTTCTAATGAAAGATTCTGATATTATTAAGAATAGAAAATGTATAAGATCATTTACATGTTCTAATTTAAAAATCAGATTTTTTACATTTAGCAGTAAATCACTTGATACAAACCTTCAGTCCTTTGTACTATTTCTAAGTGTAAATTCTAAAAGATCTTTCCCCCAGTACAGGCCTTATCACTTCTTTTAGCCCTAATCTAAACAAGAGTCAGTTTGATTCCCATCAGACATGATTGTTATTAACACTCCTGTATATCTACTATAACTGTTTAAAGAAAAGCCATTCAATGCTTTTTTCATGCTAAATGTATATGCTGCCATAATATGAAATTTTAACATTCTCATTGCACAGTTTCCATAAAAATAAATATACTTAATTTTCTTTCTCAGAAAATATTAAAACTTCTTAAACAAACATGCATATTTTAACCAAAAAATATAAAGACAACTATATGAAATTATCTAACAGGTAAATTTAATCTATTACAGGTATTATTAAAAGTTAAGTCAAGCAGTACAACAACCCAAAGATACTCCAGAAGAGTGGTTCTCAAGTTTTAGTAACCCAAGGACCCCTTTTAATTTAAAATATTTTCATGGACCCCCAAACCTATCGATTCTCTGTTCGTGAAAAGTTGTATACTAAAATCGAATTTTTTAATTCATATAAATATAATTTTATGAAAAACATTTTTGATTCTATAAAACATTTTTTTAAATATTTTTATGAAATTTTGGACATCACTCGCAGACCCCAGTTTGAGAACCACTGCTCTAGAAAATTCAGACCTCATAAAATACTAAACGAACAACTTTAAAGGCACACTGTTTGTTCTATTACTTTGGCTTACCAAAAGACACTGTAAAAATATCTTTGAACATGAGTATTTTAACTAGTTAAATATTACTCCAAAATAGAGTAGTGAAGAATTCAGACAAATGATGAAATTACTTGTTAAGAGCAATGCATGAACGTCTTGATGTTGAGAAGAGATGTGTTTCAAAAAACATCATATTTTATTTAAGAAATAGAACCTGTTCTCTGTTGTTGAGTGCTGATTTTCTAAGTAATGGTTTCCAATTTGTGTAGACAGGTCCCTTTCATTGCTGACTTGTAAAATAATTTTGAACTGCTGTTTGGATGGCTGAATATCACTGCACTCCATGTCTTTGCCGATGCTAGTGGGATGCATTCTCCCCGTATAATGTTAACAGTTGTTCTCTTTCT